GTGTCGAGCAATGCGCCGTTTGTGGTCAAACCATCCGACGGAAACTTTGGAGGTTACTTGAATCCCATCCAATGTCTGCCAGCACATGCCAATAAAGAATGCACGGTAGGTGCGGTGAGCAGAGTTTCATGGGCAAGTGGAAGTCTTAAAAGGCATGCACTGTTGACGGCCAAACCTCGCATCTGTGCCTTGCTGCTTCCCCAATGGGTTCACAATATGACATCTCACAGGCTACAGCTGCATTGAAGCCAACTGCCTCGTAACTGAGCGGTTGACTCGCTTAATGTTCCCAGGGTTCAAAGTTTATGATTGATAAATGCATGCACCTGCAACACACAAAGCATCACCTAAAGTTATTTTTCATGCTTGCCAAAGCAAGATTGAACAGATAGCAGCCTGGAGACTGATGCTTCTGGATACGCAATGTGCGTAGATATGAGGAGTCTATTGATCAAGGGAGAGGAAGGGATAAATCACGGCCGACCTACAAACAAGGATCTTGTGCAAGATAGATAATGAGATACTTAGTAGAGAGACATGGAAGGTGGAGGGCCCAATGGGGTATAGCGGATATAGTTTCACGTGACATATCGGTGACGCCGCGGAAGAGAGCTCTCTCAACTCCACTCGGAGACAGGCCATACCCTCGCTATAGCATTCCTGTCACTGTGCATCTACTGCCCTTATTTTTCTCTTTTCTAGAACCCGAACCTTCTCCCACTATTCCAACATGTCGGCCATTGCCTCTGCGCTGCGCCCTACCCTCCGCGCCTCCTCCGGCGCCGCCCTGTCCACGCGTTCCTTCAGCTCTTCCTCGTCGCGTTCCATTGCTCGTATCATGATCACGGGTCGTCTGGCTGGCCAACCCGAGGTGCAGGCCACCGCTTCTGGCCAGGAAGTTATCAGATACACCGTGGCCTCTAACCAGAACTCGAGGGATAAGCGCCCGCCGAGCTTCTTCAAGGTTTCGGCCTTCAGTGAGGGAAACCAGCGCGATTTCATCACCAACCTGCAGACGGGGTAAGTTCTCTTGCCCGTCAACTTCAATCTCTTCTTTATACTGCAGATATCCGTGTCTGCTGTTCCATTGACCCCCTCCGGATGCGCCGTTTACGTCCCTTCCAATTCCAGTTCCAATGTCCATTGCGCTAACTTGCTCTTTTTCTATCACAGAACTCTCGTCTTTGTCGAGGGAGACGCGACCATGCGCCAGTGGGAGAACGCAGAGGGCAAGAAGCAGACAGCCCTGAACATCACGCAGCGTACGTCATCCTCCCTTAACCTAGATACGATGAAACAAACCACATACTTTTCTCATGCTGTATTGCGGAAATACTAACATGTTCTATTTAATCCGCAGGCGCCCTCGAGGTTCTCAAGCGTCCGTACAACCCCGAAGCTTTCTCTGAGGAGCAGCAGCACCAGCAGCAGGAGGAGTAAACGGGAACAAATGTTTTGATCGGATAATACTGTAAGAGTTGGCATTTCTCAAATAATACCGGGCGGCAGGATGATGCAGCTGTCTTGAAGTCAGACATCACCCTATTCCTTTTGCTGGCCTCAGGTGTTCGATGCAGGCTTCTTCCCAATAGTCGGTGAAATCGGTCACCATGGGCCAGCCAGCCTGCCATCAGAAACTCTTTTTCATTTGGGTTCCTCCAAAGTTTCCTTGGCCATATGTATCATGTCTAGCAGTCTTCTCGTGTAAAATATCCTCTTTTTTCTTTCTTCTTTCCTCATATGATATGCTCTCTATCTTTTCTCGGCATGATTTTTGCGCGTACGTATGTCTGTCTGTCTGTCTGCTTGCTTGGGGCTCGTGTTGCTATAAATAGTTGTGTTATAATCTGACTGGTCTCACTCCATACTAGGTGCTGCTGCTGCTGCTGCTGCTGCTGCTACTCCGTACTACTTACTTATCTATACGTACTACGGCTTTCTATCTATCTGCTGCACCACCGCTGCATGTTAAGTTGACGCGTACGATCCGCTCAGGCAATGGCTGTGTCGCGTAATCCGCCGTTGTTGATAAAAATAAATTGATATCAGAAGGCAAAGGCAAGTATTCGGAAACTTAGTACACGTTTTACGCGTCTCGCACGTTGAGCTGTCTGGTAGTACCATTTATAATACATTGATTGATCGTCGGCTACTCTCCGGATGTTGGTGATCAGCCTAGGCAGTTCCGGTAGCTGACGTGGAGTAGGGGAACTCCTGGATGAGTTTCACGGGTTTGAATAACTGTCTCTCAAGGTAGGGTGATCAGATAGCATACAGTAGAGGTTATTAAGTACCAAGGGGATTAGTCGTAAATAAAACACTGTAGCCCCCCATCCCGCACGACCTTCCAGTGCTTGAAAAGAATTTCCACCCCAGCGATCGATATTATTACACATGCAGCTCGCTCTCCTGTTTGATTACCTGCTTGACCCGGATATAATCATCCGGAAGTGGCGCGGCTCCATGATCACTGCTTCCACGACTCTGACTCACTCCAGCCCAGGCATTGGTACGAATTGTGGTTGTTTGCTCGGCCATATGGCGCAGAGGAATCGCTGTTTCCCGACTGGGGGCGGAAGGCCGACCTCGCAAAAACCAACGCAGTCCGTATCGCGACCTCCATTTTGATTGCTCGCCTGGTGACACCGCATCCTTTTCGATATCATGATAATCATGAGGAGATCGGCTTGCGTCGGCAGAATTGTTAGAGTATGCCCTAGAGTAGCTTCAGAGTTAGGCACGAGCAGCGCATCCGTAAGAGTACGGGCTCCCTTACCTTGCGGTGGTTGTCCATCTTCTATTGAATAGAAGCTTTGCCCGGCTACCCAGGGATCCTGACGCAGAGGAACCGTTTGCTGAGGATGTCTGAAGAGATGTAAAGCAGTTGCCAAATCCTAGGAAACCCAAAATCGCACGGTACATCACGAATGCATCTCTCCCACTACCGAAGAAAATAAAGAACATATAACCCGAAGCCACCGGTATCCAACGGTCGTAAAAGACATGGCCCTCCACGGGGACCTTGATCACCTCGTTCCAGTCTGGTGGGTGAGCGACGCTCCACGAGTATGAATGCCATGGCTGAGTGACGATGATGTTCGATGCGACAACATATGTTTGAACTGGAATAATGGCCCACAGCATGATAAAGGCGATCAGGAACAGCCGCATGAACCGTGACTTAGTCAAGTTACTATTGGCGGATTGAAGGATGTCCCCGAATTGGCTTCGGTACTTGGTCAGGCGATGTAGCACGATGACTAGTAAAATGTTAGTATCCATAACAAAGCAAGGGAGATATCAGACGCCAGTGGACGAACCGCAATAGTATCCAGCAATCAAGCAGATGATAAGTGGCCAGATCCAGGCGAGCACGAGAGTCACCCAGCTCCGGTCATAGTTATTGAGGCAACCAGCAATAGCATACAGAATGTACCTGTTTGACTGATAGACGTAGTGCGTAAGCATCGCAACCACCGGGGCGATTGCACAGAACGAAAGGACCACTGCGTGATTCCACCAACGTTGCGACTGGGTTGGAACGAGGTTTGCGCGACTCGTGTCCAAAACCTGTGCCAGGGTGCGAAAAATGCAAACCAAGGTCCCGGGAATAGCAACATAGCTGGCAATCATGACTTTAACCTCAAAATCGCAGAGTCCCTTGCCGTCCCACCACGAATCAATGTCATCCGTCGGCCATATCAGAGCGTTGGTGATATTGAAGATGTTGAGTAGGATATACCATAAGATCAAGCTGCTCGCTGCAACATTTCGGTTTTTGCAGTGCAGGACTAGAGGAATGATACTGAGAAGGACGGAGACAAATGCAGTAACCGGAAGGAGTATCGCCTGCGAAGAAACCGGTGCCACTGAAGATGCCATTCTGAGTCTTCCTTATCGAAAGGGCGTTCGTATCAACAGAGCATATGAGCCTGATAGCTGCTGAAATCTGGGTCATGCACCTTGCTGCTTGATACCTCTCTCGTTGCGATAGCCGGATGTCAAGATGAGAGAGATGATTGAACAGCGACTGGTATGTATGACCCAACGTTATCCTACCAAGAGGAGAAATGCCATCCTGAAATACCAGGTGATCTAGCACAAGCCAGACAGCGAGTGACAGACACATGAGCAACAGCGACCTTCTTATTGAGGTTCAAAACCCTGAATAGACAGAGTTAATGCGAGGGCAAGCTTAACATGCTGGTGGGGCATAATTGAGACATTTCTCGTAAGAGCTGAAGCGACACAGAAGAAGCAAATTACGAAAAGGACCGAGGGGTGCTGTGATATGTCGTGGCCATCTTGGGAAACACTGCGACGGGTTCCAGCAGCATAGACCAGGGGAGTTGTCCAGTCAAGGGATTCTGGAGTGACAATTTCCCCTGTCGATGGATGTATACCAAAGAATTGACCCCAATAGACCAGAACACGGCTCTCTGAATTGGGGTGGAGTATCGAGAATGGCGCGATGCAATGAGGGTTGATGGAGGAGCAGAACAGGAACAGGGCTGCCTCCGGCCATTCCCCTTTTGGGTATCAAAGGACTCAGCGCCATCCTACCCACTTCCTTCCTACCATGCCTCTGGCTTCACTCACTCACTCACTCACTCACATCCTCCTGTCTGACCAACACGGGGACTCATTTGCAGAAGCCAGAACTAGTGCTAGCGCCACTGTCTGTTCTTCTCCTTCTCTCGTTTAATATGGCCCTTGCTGGACGAAATTAAATCAAGTAGGTGCTTCTGAGCGCCTTCAAGGCTCATCACAAGAAGCGCTATGTCTGACACCTCAATCATTACGGCTAGGAGAGCGCATCACACAAGATTCGTATGAGCATAGAGACTAGGCTCTCATCGGCCTCCAGAAAGCATTTGCCAAGAACTGGAATTGCGAACGGGTGTTACCAGCGCGAAAGACTCTATTGGTATGAGGCTGGAGGAAAGGGACCGACATCGCCCTCAGCTAGCCTCCCAGGGCCAGTGCTTAAATGTTTAGTTTGCCAGTCTAGTGTCCAATCATTCTACAAGAGCCAAATCGATCCACGTGCTCTCTGTACGGGGGGTGTTCATTGCAAAGGGGCAGGCAGCAAACAGGCACCTGCAGCAAGCAGCCTTGGAACGGCAACCAGCGACCACATTGCCAGGCGTGGGTCCCTTGTCGTCACTCGTCACGGCTTCGGTTACTTCCTCCGCACGGCCTGGCCATTTAGCAGGGAAACATAGCGCCCGAGGGATCGTCATTGGGGTTCCGGCTGCGGATCGCCCCCGCGGACCCGGCTTGCGTCGCTGTGAGTGTAGTACTACGAAGTGGGAGCTGAGGAGGAGCTGAGCAAGGGAGATCTGCGCATCGCACAGGGTAAATCTCCCGTGGTTCTCTCTCACACCTCACTGACTCTCATTCTCCCACCCCTCTCTCTTCCTCCCTCATTCTTCAACTTTCGCGTACCCTCTTTTCCCTTCGCCTTCCACTGTTCAGATTCTCCATGAGCATGAGCGACTCGTGAAAGAGCTGGATCACGTCAGGCGCTTGTTGTGTCATGCCAGAGCTTGCTCATCCATCCCTGTCTCCCTCCGAGGATCGCAGCCCCCGCGTCCATCCCCGAGAGTCCATGACGCTCCGTCACCGCGGTGCAGGCCGATCTGCAACCTTTGCAGAGGGTACCGCCAACCTGCGAAATCAACGTCGCAATTCCACCTTGTCCGACACAGTATCTGAGGCGCGGAACTCAATTCGGTCATCCACGGACGACATACTTTTCCCACGTGCGGCCAAGAGGAATGACGTGAATCTGACAAATGAAGAATCACATTGGCATTCAGCACCCTTGGGCCTCGCTTTATTGCCTGCGGTTGCCGGAATCTTTTTCCAGAACGGAAGTGCCGTGGTCACCGACGTCACCCTTCTAATTCTCGCAGCGGTCTTCCTGAATTGGTCCGTTCGATTGCCGTGGTAAGGGCACGCGCTCCCTATCCCCATACGGCACATGCTAAGCCAATTTCAATCTAGGGACTGGTATCGCTCCGCACAAGCTATCCGCCATGCAGATAGGTTCTTTGACGCCACGGATTCGCCATTCCGATCAGAAGCCGACGGCCCTCAATCCTCGCAGGCACACCAAGGAGATGCAACTGAGAGTGATGACCAGAAGCTCCGTGATAGTGCTGCGGCGGCAGCAGCCAGTAAGGAGCTACAGATCCACGAAATCATAGCTCTTGTGTCTTGCTTCGTATTCCCAGTAATTGGGACATGGATTCTACACGCCATCAGATCCAAGTTGTCGCGCCCTTCGGAAGGGCTAGTGTCCAACTACAACCTGACGATATTCCTGCTGGCGTCGGAGATCCGGCCTGTCTCCCATCTTCTAAGAATGGTGCAGGCGCGAACGCTCCATCTCCAGCGAGTTGTCGCATTGTCGTCAGAAGAGGAATCAGACAGAATAGATGTGCATGATATTGCGAAGCGCCTTGAGGAGCTCGAAGCCCACGTAGCGGAGACTGCTGCAGCACGTCTATCAGCCAGTACCGTGGATCAGGCGCAGCCACATACGCAAGATCTGGAAACAATTCAATCGGCAATCACGCAAACGGCTGCAGAAGTGCGGAAGACCTTCCAAACAGACATTGATGCGCTGAATCGGGCCGTACGAAGGTATGAAAAACGGACCGCCGTTTCTGCCTACCAAACGGATTCTCGTCTCCAGGCCCTGGAGACCCAGATGCACGACGCCTTCTCCTTAGCGGCAACAGCCCATCGAACAAGCATTCAACGGCCACAGGGAGCTTTTCTTATGATAGTCAATGGCATTTACGCTGCCTTTTTACTGCCTGTGCAGGCCTTCATGTCCATTGTCACTCTCCCATTGCACATGTCGAGAAGCTGCTTGCGTTATATTAGAGGCATACTGTTCTCAAAATCTTCTCCAACATCTCACCCAACAAAGGACAAAGCACCACGCGGCAAACCACGATTGGCGAAGAAGACAGCACGGCCAACCTCGGAAGAGGAGCCAACAGATGCCCGGGCCCTTGGTCAGATCAAAGAAATTCAATAACTTTTGCAACCGGCGTTTCACCTGGCCGATCATAACTATATAACTAGATTATAGAAGACGGGCGATGGGTCCTGCTTTTCGTTGGATTTCCCTCTTTGGAACTTGATGGCTTGTAGTCAAAAGCAATTTGAGCGCTGTTTTTTGTTGATTGTCTCCGAATCCTTCGACCACGTCTGCTTGGTCCGATACTATATATTACGTAGTACTAATGACATCAGCTAGTACCTACTAGTATCTCAAGTTGTCTGATGGTACCAATCTCTCTAATGCAGCCATTGACCATACTAAACTCCGTTGCCAGTTCTTCAGACGGCTAGTAGTATCTGCGTAGCTCTATCTCAATCACTACCACCGACCAAAGTGACAGTAGAATATGATAGCAAGCGTACTGACTAGTAAAACAAACAAACAAACTAAACCCATCCACAAGCAGAAGTTCGATACGAAGCGGAAAATTCTATACATACACACACACCTACATATATATATATATAATAACGAGTAGTAGAAACACAACAACAACAACCATCCACTTAGTATAATCCTATCATCTTTCCTCTCCACTCCTCTCCTTTCTCAAGAAACACCACCCCCAGAAGGCCCCTTATTATCAACCCCAATAGTCTTCAAAAACGGCTCAACGATTCCCCGTTTCCTTTCCTCTAGCGCACGCCGATCTTTCTCCTTTGCGGGCACAGTAACGTCCGATGATATGAGAACGGATGAGAATATGGATGCAAGAGCGGTTTCCACGGCTTGACGACGGATGGCCATTGGACTGGGAGTAGAATTGAGTGAAGAGGGTTGTTCGGTGGCTATGCTTGAGATGGATGAGGTGAAGGTACGTGTTTTACGGCGGATGAAGGCGGCGGGGGCAGGTCCGGGCTGTGGTGCATCTTCTGGTGGGTTCTTCTGGGTGGTTGGCTTTGGTTGGGGTTCGTTGCCAGATGATGAGATTAGAAGGTTGGGTGTGGAACCGCGGGTGTTGGTGTTGGTGTTGTTGGGGATGGAGGATGCAGGGGCGACTTCGTTGGCAATGCGGGCTAACATGAACGTGACGAAGGTGAAGGAGACGCTGTGAACGGGGGAGAAGGCGAGGCTTTCGAGGACCCAGGCCTGCGAGTCTTCCCAGGATAAGGGGGGTTGTTTGGTTTTTTCGCGAGTGAGGAGTTGTTGGTCGAGGTCTTGCCAGACGGCGGCAGTGACAATGCCGTCCTTCAGGGATCCGAGGAATGCGAGAAGTGTTTCGCTGAGGATTTCGAGACGTTGGAGTGAAGTTACCTCTGGGGCAAACACGGAGTTGAAATCCTTGTTGGTGTCGAGTGCTTCGCGCGCACGGGATAATAGATGGGATCGTTCATCTTGATCGCGGAGGGTCCAGGACTCGGGCTCAAAGGGCCATCCGAACCCAGAGGTCTCTCTCATCCATGGTGGCGTATCTTCTTCTGCCTCACTCCTGGTCATGCTCCACTCTGCAATGGCACGTTCTGATATTTCGGATATGGCCTCCGTCAAACGAAACAGTTCCCGAGGAGCCGACAAAGGCACGCCCGGGGTGTCTTTCTGGTCTTGGGGTGCCTTGGCTGGGACCAGGCTGCGTGCACCTGATTCAGGCATGACGGTTAGCTCCTGTAGTGAGCGGCCAAAACAGGTAGGTAGCCATTTGCCGTGAGCAGAGATGAAGTGATCTCGGCCGCGCGCGACCCGAAGGACGAGGATTTCCTCTAGACTCAGTCTCCCGCTGTTCAGTAAACGAGTCAGTTCGATGTCTCGAACGCAGGCTGTGACCTCAATGTTGGCAATCTCCCCGGGATGCAGGGTACACTCGTGCGACGGCAGCTTCTGGTTTGAGCTGGACTCTGAGTCCGACTGATGTGGTTGGTCGATACGGTATTCCAGCCAGGATGGTGTGTGGTTGGAGACATCTTGTTCCGGCTTTTCTAGGGTGAAAGTTGCTGGCACGCCGCTGGTGTTGGCGACCGTCAGTGTACGGGTGACAGGCACATCGAAAGGGACGTCACCAAAGTTCACGGCATTGGGGTCTTCACTTGTAGGTTGACTGCCGTGGTGGTCCACCACAACAGTGAGTCCAGGCCGAGATTCGTTTTCCGCCTTATCCAGCTCCCGAACCACCTCCTGGTGTACCTTGGCTTTCAATTGCGGATCCACCGAGTCGTACGTCAACGTGAATGCTGCGGCTAAGGGCTTATGATCAGAGGAGAGGATGCCTTGATGCGATACATAGTACTCAAGCTGCAGTGAGTTATCCGCATCGTCGTCCAGATCTAATGAGGCGTCGCCGTTGGAATCCTTGTCTGGATCGTATTCCTCCACACTGTCCGCTCCGTCGACATCAGGGTCATAATCAAACAAGACGCTATCGTCCGCAACTGCCTTATCCAAGCCCCGGGCTTTCATTTCTTCGTCGCGTTTTCTGGCCTCGGCAGCTTCTTTGGCCAATCTTTCGTATCGCATCCTGTCCTGGCGAGTCCGATACAGTATCCGGTCACACCAACTGGGACCTCGGTTTTTCTCGCTTGTGTCAAACCTAGCAACACTTCCCACGTCATACTTGTACGTGGGTAGGAAAGTGATCGGGCCCTCCCGCCAACCATCATGGAAAGCTTTTCGCTTATCCTGCTGCATTCGAAGCTGGTCATGGGGCAGTAGTGACGATATGGTGGTTTGCAGAGACGCTGGGTCGGTGTGAGGATCCACATCCTCGTCCGAAACAGCTGGGAGGGGGCTGTCTGTGTCCTGCTTCTGCGCTTCATCCGTGGCCTCCAGCGATGGAGTGCTGTCCTTAGGTCCAGTCTGGGATTGATGTCTATCATCGTAGTCATTTGCTGTATGCCGGGCTAGGACTTGTCGCACGTCACCACCTGGGATATCCTCCAGGCGATAGTTGAGATCTCCAAACCAAAATGCAAAGTCCTCCTTCCCTATGCTCTCGACGGGTTCTTCTCGAAGCGCTACATTTGGGTCGATGGGCTCAAACTTCGTCCGACCAACAATTTGTGAGGCATCCCAATTCCGTCGTTCTAGACTATTCTTGTCGGATCCAGCCGCCAAATGACAGTTCACGAAGACCACGCATGTCGTTTCGCCCAACACTAATCGAGTTGTAACAGCACCTTTGTTGCCCATATATCCCAACAGGCCCGTGCCCACACTGGTGCAGCTAACGAACGACACTTGATCGGCGAGAAAAGGTGCCGCATATACCAATTGAAGCAAGCCCACCAGCTGAGTCTCTGCAATAAGCTTATAGCCTTCTGGCAGTGCTTTCTGGACCGCTGCTTTCCACCGGTTCGACGGTGCCGGGTCAACAAAGGGTCTTAAGGCC